AATAAAACTATTGCAAGCAGTAGGTGACAGATTGGAAGTCTTTACATTGGAAAAGTATGAATCCGCTCATGCTGCTGGAGTACAGAAAAGGTATCTGAGCTGGACCCATGAGAAACTTGCAAGTTGGCTCAAAATTTTAAATTTAATAAGGCCATGCGTCAGCTGAGCAGTGTAATTACTTTTAATTCCACAACAGTTCTCCAATGACTATGCCTGTCCGATATCTGTGCAAACAATTGAGTCTGGACTCTGCCGTAATAGCTGCTAAAAATAAACTGCTGTTGAATGTAAAATGGTTAACTTAACAATGAAGGAATGCGAGCTTGGATTCGAATTGTTCTGTGATGAGAGGAGCATTGGCAAATAGTTTTGAAAGACATAAATTAAAAAGAAGTATTCCTTTAATGAACTGCAGATGTCCATTATATACCCATCTGCAGTTTTTGCGTGCTTGGAAACATTTTGTTCATCTGCGCGATCTGCGCGATCTGCGCGATCTGAGCGTCTTCATCTTCGGTCGACATCTCCCTGTAAAGACGGAAACAGAATAAAGGTGAGGGAGGCTAGAACAATTCAAATTGACGTTGTGCACATTTTCAGTGAGTAATTTATTTCTCTACATGCAAGTCTCAGCAACAAATCGCAAGAAACAGAAGCAAGTCTATATATCCAACTGGACTAAATGTAAGGAATAATAATAGGCAAATTAAATATCACAGTAATATCACAGTTGTATCTGGTTCAGTACGTTAATCACAGATGTGCTTTGAGGAAAAGACTAGAATGAAACACAATTTCTGTCATAGTAACTACAGCAACTGCTCAATAATAATAATAATAAAAACGGTCCAGTACTGACTGCTAGTACATAAGAAGTACATGTCACAGTAACATCACAGTAATATCACCTTACGAAAGTTAATCACAGTTGTGCTGTTTGGAAATGCCTGGACTGACAATGACCATTTTTAATAAATAGAATGACATCTAAAACTGTTCACTTCAAGTTCAACACGGTGTACTGTACAACGACTGCTTGTTCATGGCGAACTACAGCCACCCATAACTCAATGGATAACAGTTACATATCACAATTTCGGTCATATTCATCTGACGTAGAAAAAAAAAGTGGCACCACATCACACCTTGGCAAATATAAACTACATAAAGGTCCATGTATAACTACCTTAATGTAAAAAATGCTTCGTTGAAGCAACTGCTCCCAATACTAATAATAATACGACCATTTACAGAGAGAGAGAGAGAGAGAGAGAGAGAGAGAGAGAGAGAGATCTCCTTAGTGGTATGGCCATTTGCACACCAAAAGCATACTCTTGACTTGACTTGACTAACCGCGAGGCCTCTGTTGGCCCAAGGTTTTCGGTCCTTGCTTCACCCAAAGAATAGACTCCAGACCGAGGTTATTCCTGAGTGTAGCCAAATGGGGGAACATATTTGAGATCCTGCGCTAAATTTTGGGTCCGAAAAGGGTGAAAGGGGAAAAAAATGCCAAAAGGGAAATTTTGAAGGCCGAAATGGGAAAAATGAGTGGACTAAAAATGCTTCACCCACCAGGAATAACCTCGGGCTGGAATCGGCCCGCCCGGGCCCCACCCGTCTGAAGTCACATGGGCCTCCACCCCCACACCGCGGAAGCGGTGGCGTGGCGCCCGACGCCACGCTACCACGCACCCCGGTGTGCGGGGGAAGGCCATCATGTGACACCAGAGCCAGACTCCAGACCGAGGTTATTCCTGAGTGTAGCCAAATGGGGGAACATATTTGAGATACTGCGCTAAATTTTGGGTCCGAAAAGGGTGAAAGGGGAAAAAAAATGCCAAAAGGGAAATTTTGAAGGCCGAAATGGGAAAAATGAGTGGACAACAAATTCAAATTTTTCTGGTAACCTCTCTCGCTCTACCTCCACCACTCAACGCCGCTCCGCCGCCAACCGTGTATTACAGTTACCACAAGATGTTTCAATGAAGGAGGTCCAGAAGCGCTGGCCCGCGGTGCCGCGCTTGATACGGACGTTGCCCTCCCACAGTACAGGGCCGTAGCTCTCAGGTTCGGCTTCACAGCCCTCAGCCGGTGGAGCCGGTGGACCGCCAACGTCCAAATGGGTCGCCTCGTGCTCCGTCCACTCGACCACGCAGGAGAAGTCCGGAACAAATCGATCACTCAACTGCTCTCGCCGACGGTCGAGGAGGCCGTAGTGGTCCCGCTGCCCATCGAAAAGCTTGCTCGCAAACTGAAAAACAGGAAAACACGACGATTAAGGTGGAGCTCAGCACCGTCTTATGCTTCGTCTTGGTCCTGCTGCCCCCCACCCCCCTCGCGCAGCACCACGGCAGCAGGCCGCGAGAAGGCAACGTTGCATCTGGAGGGGGCTCCAGGCTCCTTTTGGCGGCCATGTGGCACCGAGGGCAGCACGGCACCACTGCACCGCGTTCCC